ATGTTACCGTGTATAGGCCAGGCACCTACTGCTCCTGACTCTGGGCTTTCCCATCTCATGATCTGTCATACACGGTTAGGTGTGGGTGTGCGCGCCTGTAATCCCAGCATTTAGGACGCAGAGGCAGGAATTTCTCACGCCCCAGGCCAGCCTGGGGCTACATAGTAAGACCCTGTCTCAAACAGAATGAATCCAAATGAGCGAAATCGAATTCATCATGCACAGTAAACATTCAGAAACATTGACGTGCTAAGCACCCCTCGCCAACGGTGCTGCTGTGCTTGTAGTGTGTTCCAGGTCTTCTGTTTGGCAAAAAGTTAAATATTAAAAACTAACATGATATATATGAAGAAGGTAGTTGCTAACAAAGCACAGCTACTTAAGGGTGGAAGCCTGATTTAAGTCACTCTTAAAATGAGAACATCACAGGACCACAAAAGCTGCCACAGCCCCGCACCTCTGTGGTTCTAGATTACCAAACTCTCTTCAATTCTGTCCCATGCCGCTGCACCCTCACTCTGAACTTCAGCCCATGGCTTCTCTTTCTCTCTATCTGGAAGGAGCTTATCCAGAGACATCTTTCTTCAGGGTGTCTGTTTTCTGTCCTGTGCTTCAATTATTTCCACCATCCTTTCAAGGAGAAGTAAAAAAAAATGTTAAGCAAAGGAGTTTGGACTAGTAAGAGCAGGGCTTTTACTGATTTTTCATCCTTATATTTGAGACAGTATCTTGCTATGTAGCTTTGGCTATGGCAGACTTAAAACTGGTTATGTACATCAGGCTATCCTCAAACTCCCAGAGGCTCTCCTGCTTCTTCCTCCTGAGTGCTGAGGTTAAAGGTGTACACGACCACACCTCACTTTGTTCAAGGTTTTAATTTTAGGTTTTATACAGGAGTTCTTTAAGGAAAACAGTTCATCTTCCTTTGAGACTGGAGAGAAGGGCGAGGGATGGGTCAGGTCCTGAGCCAGTGGTAATCTTTATGATTCTGGCAGTGGAAATGAAAATTTGCATCCTACAGAGACATAACTAAGAGAGACTTAACAGAACTTGGTGGCTGAACTGGCATGCTACAGAATGGGACATAGGGCAAGCAGGTAGACCAACACTTATTGTTAGTTTTTTCAGTCTGCTTGGCAGGAGTTACACAGAAATAAGGAAGCTGTGAGTATTCCCAACTTTGGTGAGGGGGAGTTGAGATGGGGGAAGAGTATGGGTTTGTCTGGGGCCTCTCATGTAAGGGTGGAAATTCCTTGCAAGTACCAGAATGGAAGCTGAGCTCTAGAGGGAAGACAGGGGGAAAGTAGAGATTTGCACAACACTCAGTCTGGGTGACCAAGGAGAAAGGAGGAAAATACAGAAAGAGAACACAAGACCCAACCAAGGGTGTTAGAGGAGGAAGATCTGGGTGTGAAGGGCTAAAGGAAGACATGGGGAGAATGGTGTCAGACCAGCCAGGTTATAATTACATCTCTGTCTTTGTGTGTGTGTGTGTGTGTGTGTGTGTGTGTGTGTGTGTGTATACACCACAACACAAATGTGGAGGTCGGAGGACAACATTTGGTACTGGAGATTTACCTCAGGTCATCAGGTTTGGCGGCAAGCGCCTTTACCGTCTGAGCCATCTTGCTTGCCTTAATTGTTTTTACATAAAGAAATTCGGGAGCGGAAAGATTATTCGAGTGTAGAAAGACTGGTGGGAATAAACCAGCGTGGCTGCTCCAGGAGCCCTGCTGAGAGGTCCATCTGCTGTAGACTGCAGCAGTGATAAAATGGGATAGGGAGGGGGTGTGGGAGGGTGTTCAGCGGGTTCAGAAAATAGGTACTTTGGTTAGAGAATGGAGTTGGGGTAAGGAAGAATAGAGTCTGGGATGTCGGCTGTGTTTCTAGTTGGATTCACTGTGGTTTGGAAAAAAGAGGAGCAGTCCTACGATCAAGATGATCCGTTCTAAGCTGTACTGTGTTTGAAATATACATTCAGGTGGATTAGAGTCATGAGCACATGGTGATTGATGCCAAATTCTTGGATAGCATTTTTGGAAAAAAATAATAAATTCGTGATGAATGCCTTGCAATGGGTTCATAAACCATAACAGTTCTTTGTCTCCTCTTCTCTGTGGCTCTTCTTCAGTTTATATTGTAGTCTGAGCTCAGCCTCATAATTTCATCTTTGAAAAGCAAGACTGTGGGCCCTGCTAAGTTGTTCAAGCTGGCCTTGAACTCACTCTGTAGCTCAGGAAGGCTTTGGGTTTGCAACCCTCCTGCTTCTGCTTCCCAAGCAGCTGGGATTGCAGCCTAAACAGCCAGGTCTTCAGACCATCTTACTGTAGACACTCATCTCTAAGAGCAGAAGATACCAGAAATTAAAACAAACAAACAAACACACAAAAAAACCAAGCAGGAAGATGGTTAGATGGTTCCTGGCCCATTGCTTTGGTTCTGATTGTATTTTTCTCCTCTCTAAACAAGACCCTTAAAAGAGTAATGTTAACATTTTCTCATTTCCTATTATAGTGCCTTGTAATCTAGCTTCCCTTGAATCACTCTTCTGTAACTGGGCAGAGCTGGTGAACTGATGAGGCAAACTTTTAGTCCCAGCACTCAGGAGGCAAGAGGAAGGCAGATCTCTGAGTGTGAGGCCAGTGTGGCCGATAGAGTGAGTTCAAGGACAGCCAGGGCTGCACAGAGAAACCCTGTCTCAGAATAAATGAAAGAAAGAAATTGGTCTCAAAAAGAAATTGTTCTCAAATGTCACCAATGAACACTCCTCCATTGCTGGTGAGAATGTAACCTTTTACAACCACTTTGGAAATCAATCTGGCGCTTTCTCAGACAATTAGGAATAGTGCTACCTCAAGATCCAGCTGTACCACTCCTAGGCATAGGCTCAGATGTCACCAATGACTTTCTCATTATCAAACCCAGTGCTTCTCTTTCTACACAGAGTGACACAGTCCTAACTTTTTCTCTTTGTCCTTCCTTTCTTGGTTCTTTGACACCTTTGCCCGTCCACTGTGACTTTTTAGGGTCTTCTTCTCGTCCTTGAAATGCAAATCTTCCTCACTCTGGAAGATTCGTCTATCTTTCCACCATGCGTGGTTAGTGGTTATCTTGCTGTCATGGCTTCTGCTGTGGTAGCACCTGCCCACTGTGTCTTCTTCCCTCTGACCTCCACCCGCCCCTCCCAGCTCCTGACTCACCATCTTTGCCTCAGTCTTTTGTTTCATTAACAGGTTGGCTGCTCCCTGGGATTCAGTGATCCTATAGTTCCCCTGGTATGTAGGGTTCTGAGATCTCAGAAGCCTTTCTCTTTGCTCACACTGAGAAGTTGGTTCTTTGGAGGTTTGCTTTTGTTGTTGTTTTCTTGTGGATTTTTGGTACCCCAGTCCAGGCTCTCTTCATGCCCACATTATTACTGTTGCTCTCTATCTAATCTAATTGCCTCCCGTTTCCCCTCAGATTCAAACCAGCTCGCTCACTTCCTGCAGATTAACCTCCCCCAGCTTCTGTATGACTTTATTTCCTCTGCTCAAGAACTCTCAGTTGCTTTCCATTGCCTACAGAAAGTCCAGGCTGACCATGTAACAACCATATATTTATTCGGGGTCTTCCCTAAATTTCTTGAGCAAGCCTTGCTTCTAAGAACTAGCCCTTAGATAGCCCTCTCTTTGGCCAATGAGGGTTTCCTTGCCTGCTTCTCGGCTTTTTCCT